TATATATATATATATATATATATATATATGTCTTTTTAATATAAATACCACGTATCGTCTGCGATACATAGGATATAATAGAAATACTGTTAAGTATAAGTTAAGCGTACGATTCGGACCACGCTCATAGTTAGTTAAGCGTTCCTTCCCAACAAATCTTTTTAATTTTTCCAATTGTTACGTTTCACGTAGTCATATATCATTGTATGTTTATATAACATATATTTATACTTACTTATAATATACTTAACGATAATCAACATTTAATTTTCATTATTTCTTTTCACAAGGTAACTCTTGTTACGTTATCAGTTTTTTCTCAGCCAACGGATCAGAAATATTTAATCGCTTGAATACACGTACGAGTCTAAAATATTTATAAGTACGGCAGGTTCCTTAATCGAACTCTCTTAAATTAACAATAAATAGATCTAAGCTCTGGAATTTTCAAAATTATCAGTATATATGATATGATAAACTTTGGTCGGAAATGTTCACATTTTCATTTGGTTTTTATTTCTTCTTCTTCGTTATCTTTCGTATAAATCAGACTTCGTTATTACTAGACAGAATTTGATTTTTTCTTTTTTTTTTTTGTCTCTCTTACTCTTCAGCAGCGTTGCGTCTAGCAAAAGTGTGAAAAAGGAACGCAATAAATCGAGAATTGTACATTTTGTTTTCATCGGTATCGAAAAATCCGTATGATGCGTATTATTTTGCACGTATCCATGCGTTGAATAATGTTAAGACTCGCGTCTGAACGAACGTTACACGATAATAGTACACGCGATTTCTTTTTTTCTCTTTTTGCATTTTCTGTTGCTGCTTACGTACTCGCAATTACGACATTAATGACGATAACACGGTTAGATTATATTTATCGGAGGAGAATCGTTTTTCATTAGGCTTTCAGTTCGTTTGTAAACTATGTAATATGCACAGCGCATCCTCGGGCACCTTGTACTTCTCTGAGGTCAGTTTTGTTGTATAGTACAAACTTAGGCCTAGGAAGTACATATGTATACATATATACCTCGTTTCTGCAGTGGTTTCAGACTATAATAAAAATCGCATGTCAAGACTAGAAAAAACATATTATTCCTCAAATTATTCGTCTCCCTTTTCCCTTTCCTTTCCCTTTTTCCTATTATCCACGTACTCGCACGGTGGTTTGAATCATTGTTTGAACATCTTATTTTGAAATATTACTTCGGGGAAATAATTCCGTGTATACTCTGTAACGAAAACTATGTAGTTTGTTTTTCATCGTTTGAAGCACGATTATCTATTATCACGCGTATTCGTCATTGTAGTAATTATCTCACTGATTGTGTAAGGTACATTTGGCCGCCAGTAGAAACAAATTATATAAATATAACACGTGTCTGTGTCTGTGTGTCTGTGTATATATATATATGTAATGCATACACAAAACGATTGTCTCCTCCTTCGTACATAAGTTTCTCCTCTCTGTCGTTCTTCGAAATATTCTTCCAATTGCCGTGACACGATTTCCTCTTTAATAAATAAACGAACTCCTACTGTTCGTCTCGTGTTACGTTATCATTGCCTCTAGATAACCCATTCGATCGAAGGTCACGGTAAACCTACGGAAAATCTGGTACAGCGAAATATTAATAGGTTCACGAGGATTGAGGGACATCGATCCTTGCAATTCGCTGGAACGGACAACAACGGTGTGCATTTTCGCGGTTTTCTTGTTCGTTAGTGGTCTCGAGTACATCCATAAAAGCGGTTTCACATATATAACACTGCTACTGTTGTTTACATATACCGTTTACCGATTATTTATCCTACGTTGTCTGATTGTACTCCTCCCTTTGCGATCCGACAAGAAAGCAAAAAAAGAAATGCGTCCACGCCTGCACAAAAGTGGCCACGTTTCGCTTCTTTGGAAAATGATACACGACGAGTAAAACATCGATTGACAATTCTTTCTCTTCTCTATCTTTCCCTTTTTCCCTCCCCTTTGCCTTTTAATGTAACGTGTGCCACATAGCGATGGTCTTCCTCGGCGATTGAGTTATGTGTTGCCAGTGCTCTCTTCCTTTATTTCCGCTTCCTTCCAGCCCTCGTATAGCAGGACCAACGATACAGGAACCAACCATCACGTTTCCGCCCATGAACTCGTTGCTCGAGTCCATCACGCATACCTTGCAAAAAAAATAATTCCATAATTTTCCTTTATTTCCCTCTTCTGCCTCTTTTCTGTAGACGGCAAAGAAAATTCAAATTGCTTCGCGTGGATAGGAGAGATTTCTTTCGATATTCGTGAATTGGCATCGTTCGAGTCGTTCGAATTTCTCGTATCATCATTTACCACGTCACGATTTTTAAGCTTTCTCGAGGAAATTAAATCAAGATTAGTACGATACGATGCTGCTGTCAAAAATATTCGGTAAAAATCACAGTCTTTGAGAAATTTTCGAAAATTCAACGCGATAGATCATTTGCGTAGTCAGATTCTTTCCTATCCGCGCTATTATTTTCGTCAGATTTACGAAAGAAAGGTGTTATCCAGGAATGGCCACTTTACACGAATACCTGTGTAAAATTCAGATATGTTGCATTAATTTGAAGAAATACCGAGAATAACGGCACGGCGTTTCTTCGATGAAAATCACATTTTATCACGGAAGAAACGTAATTCTCCGAACAATATATTTTCGACGCGATTCAGAAATTTCCAATCATCTGGGAGCGGCTGTTTTGCCACGCTGGATCGATTCTTCACCCCAAGACGTTCTCGAACCACTGGCAACTCATTCATTTCGTGCACAGTGTTTCATCCGGGGACCTCCGCGGAAACATCCACGGAAGCTCATCGATATTCAGTCTAGACCTGTCGTTCGTCTACGAAGGTCGCTTCTATGTATCTTTCTCGTTTCTCGCCGTTCCTTCAAGGCGAATTGCTCGCAGACGCCACGGAATACGCTCGTCGATGGCCACGACCGACATTCAGCTACGCAAACACGCGATTTCCCCGTAAATGGATCTCCCATCCACGAGTCGAACGCGTTTTCTTAACTTTAGTCGTTAACTGCAACGTCCATCACGGTCTGACAATTTGCGAAGACAAACGGAAACGTATCTATCGTCGAAATCCTCCCTAACAGGCTTCTTCTCCACGTGGACCCGGTGGAGAAGGGGTGTTCGAAATTGCTGCGGGGTTTTTGCAGGCGACCCTATGACGCAAATCGATAACTCGTAATCGATGGAACTCGTTTATAGTCGAGGGGTTGCGTGTCCTCGGGAACGGCGTTGCGACAGACGAGTTTTACGTTTCAGTGAAAACGGAAGTTCTATTTCTTAAACGCTCGATCTACGGTAGATGGTTTATTCCGTGATTCTTGGATAAGTTCATTCTAACTGCTCATAAATTGCACGTCGAAATAACAGGTCTCGCGCTCGAAATGATTAACCCTTTGCTAACTCGACGACTTTTTCGTTGCAGAAAAATAGTCATTCGAAGACTTTCTGTCATAGAGTCGATGATATTTTTAAAATGGTAAATGAGAAATCGTATGCAAATTAAGACATAAAATTATATTTCTTCGATATTCCACATATCGTTAGGTAATTTTAAATTTGATATTGCAGGATACCAAAAGAAATCGCGAATCGGCTATTGCCGACAAAAACAAATTGTAAACCGATCGATATCTTCTAGAAGCAAATCGAAAAGTTATTCTACATAACAAAATTAAGTTGCGCGACTCCTCTACGGGGAGGTGAAGCGCAGGTTAAGGAAAGCATAAAAGCGTGATCCTTGACGAGCAAAATAGAGTCCTTGGAAATCGGTTGTGACCAGCACAAGCGTGAGTCGCTTGGTGTTGGAAAGAGAGTTTTAAAAGAGCGCGTCTTTGTGTGTTTTCGTTATCTTGGTGTTCTTTCCCTTAGTTAAATCAGTTTACGAGTTTTGAGTTTGCGTTATCGTGTTCTCGTTCTTTCGTGAATTTTCGCTGTCTCGAGATTAGTTCCGCCATTCTACGATATATTAATTAACGTCGATCTTTAGAATCTGATTAAATGGTGACTGAAAGTCACCTCTCGAGTGCAAAGGGTTAATCCTTTACGAAAAGAGCAACATTCGAAGATAATTAGTCACGTTCCCCAAATTTTTGAATTCTTATAATCCAATTCTTATAAATGGACATGTCTCGCTCTTTAAAATACACGCATGAGCATCGAATATGGCAAATTTCGGAACTTGCATTAACGCGTCGGTATTTTTTGAGAAGTTAGTGTTTTCGTGGATCACCGAAGAATTTCGATAATTCGAGCCAAAGGTTGGAAAGCGCAATCGATCCTTTCGTCGACGCGATTTTAATTCCAATTTTCCAATGATCTTGAACGAGACGGGAAATGGGGAAAAGCGGGCAACTACGTTTCTCGGCATAAAATTTGAAAATTAAATTTTTCTCACGCCGGTGAAAATGTGATTTTTCCCCTCTTGATGGAGGATCGTATAATATAGTCCGAACGCTCACCCCCGTGGAATTTTGTTATGCATATCAATTCACGAACCACCGATTTAAATAACACTTTGAAAGGGAGTTCCTGTCAACATCTGGCTGCATCGCAGATAAAAGCGTCCTCCGTGAATCCGGTATTAAGAACCATTTCTGAATTAATTATGTCGAAGGATTCGTGTAAAATGTCCAACCCATTTGATGTAACCTAACGAGCAACGCGTTGCGAAACGTATTTCATCGATGGAATCTAGCAGGAAAAATTTATTTCGTTATCGACGAATTATTGCCAAAGATTGGAAACAGTGGAGAAAGGAGATCGTAGAAATAATTTTGAGAGAAAAATCTTATTTTCAACAATTCAAATGCAATTTAAGCTACTTCCTGAAATCCATATGATCGCGACACGAGAGACTTTGAAGCTAGTTTTCGCACGACAATTGTTTTATTTGTTCCAAGACACGACGGTCTGAATCGTGGGGAAACTGGACAAGCTTGATTAAACGTTAGACGTATATTTACCTCGATGGCTGATGACTCGAGATAGTTGGAAGGAACATCAAAGGACAGCGCCTCGTTCCAAACGGGGCTGGTCGTGGCTTTTCTTACAGCAGTTTTCTTCTTCTTCACCCTCTTCTCTCGGCAAAGGAGATTTACTTTCACGAAGGAATCTAAGGTTTCTTTGTCCTGCGCGACACCATGCCAATCCGGCACGTGGAATATTAAAACGTGTCACCGATATCTTTCATAACTTATTTTTCATATCGCGACTACAAGGAAATATCGATAGCCATGGGAAATATGGTGGATTAAAAATAAAAATAGAAAGGATTACGAAGAAATTAAAAAGAGATAGAATATAGAAAAGAATAAATAAAATTTGACGAGTTTACCTGCGGAGGAAACAGATTCCTCGCCCTCAGGATCACGACTGTCAATCGTTCGGCGCTTGGCAAGTAAGAGAGTGACAGCAGAACCTCTTGAATTTGTTCACGTGGCTTTGGTTCGCACTCGATCTCACCCCATACCTCCTCGGTCGAGGTTGGAGAGTCTAATCGCAAAATATGTAGAGGTACCTTGACAGAACCTACTATATTGTTCCTGGAGAAACGATCGTAATCGAGCACCTGTGAAACAGAGGAAGCCTTGCTTCGTTAAACGTCAAGGGAACTATTAATTTCTTCCTGCATAAAGTTCAACGAATATCGTTTATAATTCGTGCAATAAACGGTAGCAAGAAATTAAATTATTTCTCCAGCCCGGTCTCGTTAATAGTTTCGAAAGATTTCGTTCTGCTAACATTTATTAAAAGATCGATGAGGTATCGAGGCATTTATTTAACGACCAAAACTAACTTGTAAGCAGGAACAAGTGCAAAACTTCCTCGCTGAAAGTTACTCTCTGAACGGAGGTCTATGCCAAAGGGTAGAAAATTAGCAGGATAATAAGGATCATGCTGAATTACCTGTAAAACTAGGGTCTTGTCCTGAAGTTCGTCGTTGCTGACAGGGAATTTGAATTGTTGATCGAAGAACGGGTTCGACTCGTTACGGTATATCTGTGTCTGCCGTTTCCTCGAATCCACTTCAGGGCTGAGGGTCAGCTTCACGTAAGGATCGTTGAATCCTCCTTGATCGCTTCCAGCCAGATCATGCGCCTCGATCAAGTGTACGTGCAAATCCGATCGATCGAAGTCGTATTTGAATCGCAAATGTAGCCGACCTAAACTCTTCCCATTTCTAAAATTACATCCAACACGAAGGCACTCGTTACTCCATCGTAACCTCGCAGTTCCATTCATTCCTCGCGATGCTTCGCAACCGATTCCGATTTTCCCCTCGTTTATTCGTGCGTTAATATACCGAAATTGCTCACGTGCCAATAAAAATAACACGCAAATTGTGCAATACGAGCGATTGCTTTGTAAACCGCGATCTACCGTGTGCTCTGAATAAATTTTCGTTTCGCGTACGGTTATAAAATTCGCCACGTCTGCGTATAAAAACGACGCAAAATTCTAGCGCGGTATAGAAATGGACGAAAATTATTCGAGTATCAAACTCGAATAGAGCGCGAAATTGCATTTCCATTTATTTTTCATTTCTCTCTGTTTCGTGGGAATTCCGAAATCGACCACGACACGGCATAATAATCGCGTTGGAAAATCAGGCACGAGTCACTCAATTACTCTGTCCAAGGAATTTCAACTTTTTCTCTAATCTGTAATAACCATTGGGTGATTCTTGTAGAGAACTCTAGAACTCGTGAAGAGTTCTCTATAAGAAGAATTATCCAATGGATATCACAGATTAAAATTCACGTCGAACAGTATTATCGGCCATTTTCGTTGGACCTTAGTGCACATTGCATCCTTTTAGATTTAACGATAAACAGTGATCTACGCGTATTCGCGTTGCTTGATGTTACACGTATTGCAGACTGCAATTAACCCTTTGCACTCGACGATTCTTTGGCTAAAGAAGAGTAGAAATTCAAAGATTCTCTACTAAAATATTGACGATACCTTTTTAAGCAGTAAATAAAGAATTGTATAATAATAGAATTGTAGAATTATTTGATTTCGAGACCTCGCATACTTTTACATTACATTAAATTTGATATATTAATTAATATCGATCTTCCAAATTTTATGAAACGGTGACTGAAGCTCATCTCTCGAGTGCAAAGGGTTAATACACGTCGCAATACGAAGCGTTAAATTCTACAAGAATTATCCAATGGATATTACAGATTAAAATTCACGCGAACAGTTTTGTCGGCCATTTTTGTTGGACCCTAGTACACATTAGCTCCTTTTGGATTTAACGATAAACAGTGATCTATGCTTACTCGCGTTGCTCGATCTTACACGTATCGCAGACTGCAATTAACCCTTTGCACTCGAGAGGTGAGCTTCAGTCACGGTTTCATAAAATTTGGAAGATCGATATTAATTAATATATCAAATTTAATGTGATGTAACAGTGTGCGAGGTATCGAAGTGAAATAATTCTACAATTCTTTATTTACTGCTCCAAACGGTATCGTCAGCTTTTCAGTAGAGAATCTTTGAATTTCTACTATTCTCTAGTCAAAAAATCGTCGAGTGCAAAGGGTTAATACACGTCGCAATACGAAGCGTTAAATTCTACAAGAATTATTCAATGGATATTACAGATTAAAATTCACGTAGAACAGTTTTGTCGGCCATTTTTGTTGGATCCTAGTGCACATTAACTTCTTTTGGATTTAACGATAAACAGTGATCTACGCTTACTCGCGTTGCTCGATCTTACACGTATCGCAGACTGCAATTAATACAGGTCGCAATACGAAGCGTTAACGTGTACCTTCCTATTGACCAAAGAATTAATCATCCACGTGTTTCGCCTGGAAGTCAAATAAAATGGCTGGTTTTCGTATCCGATTGCCGTATATCCGGTAATTCAATCCTTTTAGACTCTATGCGTGCTGGGGCAGGAATAGATCGACATGTAGGTCATCGAATAATATTTCCCGGTGGCGAGCCAAAGTTTCGTTCTACGAATATACTGCCTCGATCTATTAAATCGATATTAAACGCGCACGATAAATAACACGAGTAATAATACGAGGCTAACGTTGCAGTATCGAATGAGCATTCTTCGATGCTTTCTTCAACCGGTTAATGGAGCAACGTGGTATCACGGACGTGGCGTGTTAGCATCGCGTACAGGGTGTTTCAGCAACTTCGTTAGAAAGTTTAACAAGCAAAGGGTGTAACGTAAGAAGGGAGAATGAGATTGTTACCAGGTCGATACACGCTCGCGAAGTTTCCGCCAATTTGCAACGTTTGTATGTAAAATAGCGTCACTAGGATTAGGTAAATAGTTCTCGCGACGTCCTCGGAGTTACATCCGATTATGGCTGCCTCCGTTTCGCTCGGTTTCGAGGTTTTACGTGCATACGTATCGAAAATTGATTAACCAGCGAGAGTCTGCGAGTACTCTGGATCTTATTCTTAATATCCGCGTCTTCTTAAAGATAATCCGCGGAGATAAAGAAGGAACGCGGATATCCGAGTGTGAAAAGGTATATTAAATGGGAAAGATGTTACGCGCACCCTCGAGCCTTGAGATGAATAGGGCCATCTCTTCGTTGGTAGAGATCTGGCTGTATAGAACCCAATGGCGAGGCTGGAGGAGGTGGTCCACCGTCGCTGTTGCATGAAAGAAATTTTGCATTCAGGGATTAATCGGTAAAAGCAATATCTGTAACGAAAATTCTCCAAATGTAAATACTTCAGGCCGAAGCTAGAGCAAATACGATCGCGAAACGTAAAAATGCGAAATGAAAAATTTATTTAGCCATGCACGAACGAGCAATCATTTATCACCGAGCAATTTATCGATCGTTGCTCGGATTCGCGATTCTCATTAAATTTTGATGGAACGATTCGGGGTTGTCTCACCTCCCGGAAATGCGTGACGGTGGAATAAGAAGGGGTGAAAGACTTCGGCCAGCTGATCTGGAAACTCCGTGGGCAACGCTTATCGAGGAACCACCGCAGGAAGAGCTCACACCTGTTGCCAGAGACGACAGAGAGCTCTGAGATGGTGACGCATTACTGCTCAAAAGACTTCCGGAACAACTGGCTGGACTCCCACAGCGTGCATCTAGCGATGCTGCACGGCCTGGTGACGGCGATCTGTGCGTTTAGCAATCGATTGTGAGGTGCACTCAGTTCTCTCTGTTACATAGCTAATTAGAAATAATACGTGCCTATCATCCACGAGTAATTATATTCTATCATAATATCTCGCCTTTGATCACTCTGTTTAATTCTTAAAATATGGAAAACCGCTGCCTGGTTACATAGACTTTATGCACGCAAAGTGTTCCTGTAGCACTCGTGATATAACGAAATTTAATAAAACTGGTATCTCTTGTTCAATATTAACAATACCATATGAATCTCCGCTTCGCGATTCTTTTTCAAACGTTTCGTACTTTAATTGGCTTCGACTTTCATACACGCGGAGGTATCCGTGTGTTAATAATTTTTTTACAAAACAGAAATAGGTTAACGAACAATTTAATCATATCCCGGGAGTTCGTGGAACCGAGAATTCGCGTGGATCGCTTTGTAAAATTAAGATTTCATTAGACTGTCATTCGTAACCCGATCCACAGTGCTTGAACAATGCTCGAGCAATTAGCAAGATTTCACGGGAAATACGATGGAATTTCCTCGAACGAATCTAATTCAATCTAGTCTAACGAATACATTCGATTACGATCTTCTATACTGTACAATGTGTATACAAATTTCAGTCGTTCGAAGAAACTGTCAAACCGTAGCATGATTCCTCTAAATTACTAATACCGTGATAAATTGCTGATTGAAATTGGCAATTAAGCGATACCTTGAGCTCTTGCTCGGTGGATAAGACGAAGCAGCGTGCAAGGGATCCCTGTGATGATGATATCGTCCATCAGGTCCAAACGATCGGACCTGCGTCGAGGATCCACGATGGCTGGATGGCCCGGATGCTCCTTCCAACGAGCTCTGAGAGCTCACCGATGAATTCCTCGTGAATAATCGGCCCATGCTTCCGGATCCGCCGCTACCGCCAGGATAGCTTCGACTTTGATGCGGCAAACTTCCTGTTTCACATAGGAATTAATCGACGTTGTACTACAGCCAAGGGATCATCGTCATAATAACAGGCTAAATGAACACCTGGTGGTCCCATCGACGTCGCCAGTGTCGTGGTATGCCATAAATATAGCTGGGATCGTGCATGAACGTGATGAAAATTTCGATTTTGGATTGTTTTATAGAACAAAAAGAGACTCGTTGGGAAACCGCTAAACGATCATCGTGCAAATCGAAATCTTTTGCAGAGGAAGGAAACATCTGCTTATGCAAAATCGCATATTTCACTTGCTCCATCTACCTCAGCCACGGTATCGATCGTAAATTTCTTTCTAATCCATTTTTCACAGTCAACCCGCACCATTTTACATCGCAATAGCGAGGCACGGCGAGGTGGATTTTCGGGATTACAGTTTCGATCGAGTAAAAGGCGATCGTTTGTTACAACGTACACGTCCCAGCCACGAGTCTGACGCGTGGCAACGAGCCGAGATTACTTAGCCCGCGTACGATCTTCCGGTTTTCGTTGCACGATTTTAGACCGTGACGGGATCACGCGTCGAGGCGTCTTCGTCGATCGGTAATTTCGAAAGCAAAGATGGTAGAGGGATCTGTGTGTGGTAAGATCGTCGGGGATTAAAGCGTTCGTGCTGCACTGATTTTCTGACGACGGGAGGGACGTCGCAGAGCAGGGTTTCCAAAATTTCTCTGGTTGAAATCCATTTTCGAAAATGGGAATGAACAACTTTACTATAAAAAATGGCGGCTTTTATCATACATTGACCGACAATTTTTAAAACGAATTTATATATTTTATGTACGTGGGAATGGAATAAGTGTGGCTCTGGGAAATGTCGAGTGTGTCTGGACTTAGAATGAAAGTGACCATGTGCGCAAGGATCGACTGCAAGGATTATTTATGGTAGAGTCGAGCGAAAGTTTAAGGATGCGTGCAGAGTGATTGAAGTGCCTGGCCCACCGAGGTTGCGTTAGGAAGGAGCATGACTGGAGAAGAAAGTCAGGGTATGAACGAGGAGGATGAACGGTTTAAATAAGGGTGCAAGGGCGCGGGCGAGGACAGTCCTTCACGGTCTTCAAGATAGCGTCTAACAAGTAAAAGTCGAGCGTACCCGTAGCGAGTCTTTAGTTTCGTGGCCGATAATATAAGTATAAGCTTATTGTATTTTAAGAAGCAGTAAAGCAACGTTACTTTAGCCAATCCACCCACCCCGATCCTACATGTATATAATTTATATATAATATACATATAAATAATTTTGCATAAATGAAGGAATCAGAATTTATTGGATTGCTATAGTCATTTTAATTTGTATAGGTTTTTCATTAAAATTTTCAATCGTATCGACATTTCCGACTAATATCGTGGTGAGCTAATAATTTTGTATAAACGAAGAGATCAGAACCTATTGGATTGCTATAGCCATTTCAATTTGTACAGGTTTTTGATACAAATTTTCAATCGTATTTAGAAACAATCGCGATGGAACTTAATTATCACTCTATTGCCTAATAACGTAGCATAATCGCTGCCAAGAATGAATTTTTACTTTATATTTTGGGAATCTTCGTCGTAAAGGAAAGTGAAATTTACCTGATTCGACGACCACGGAGGAGCATGGCTGCACCGCGTGTTGTTCCTTGGCGACGTTAAATTCCTGGAATAAAATCATTCAGTTAAACTTCCATTTATTTCTTCCGTCTCGATCGCTCATTCTATTTCACGGTTGCCAGATAAAGCAAAGTCTACAAACGAAACACTGAAAGGCAAATATCCGTGACGGACATGTCCCACGAACAAAGTGATGTCACCACCTATAAAACGTTTCATCCCCACTGATCTGTCTGTCTTTCCTATATTCATTGTTTTTCACCGACGATGAAAGAGAATCGCCGCGAATCAATTACCAACTTTCTCGCAGGCAAAGCTGTCTCCCGATAACCAATCCAAGTCAAACTCAAAGGTACCCTTCGACAAGTTAGTCGAACGTTTGCGTTCGGATATGAGAAAAAGAATTTCGATTTCGAAGTTAACGTTACACGCACGATGGCATACACGCACGACAATGGCATACACACACGTACCTATGCGTACGCGCGACCTACGATCTGGGTCAACGTTGTACCCTCTGGAAAAAGAGGAAGAAAAAGGGAGGAAGAAGAGGGAGAGAAAAATAAATAAGAAAAAATGAGATGGGAAAATATGGGAAAGAAAGAGAGGATGAAATCCAGTGGAACGTCCACTGCGTTCCGACACAGCGTAATATCGTTCGAAGGAGCCCCTAAATTTCCGGCGATTCGTTCAATTTCCCCGAAATATCCGAGTCACAGCGAATTTCTGACGCGTTATTTCCCGTCTCTGGACGGCTCGTATTCTCGCGTCAAGCGAACCTGTTTAGTCCCGGGACGGTAATTAAAAATTGCCGGCAAATATGTATTTAACCGGTCGCATATATCCGGTTAGCTGGAGCCTGGTCAGCGAACCAACGATAGGTCTACGACTCGTCTGCGTTTTCGGATATTGATGGGTATGGTCGAGCTTGGTCGAAAGGAAACATCGAAATCAATTGTTCGCCGACTGGCCGCAACCGACGACCGATTTCCGATGCTGGAAAACGTGTTCCGCGAACGATACACGTTCCCCAATTTTCCTCACGGTTTCCGGTATAAAAAATATTTTTTTACGGCAGAGAGAGAGATTCGTTTCACGTTTCTCGCCAGATAGGAAATATTTTGGCAGGTTACCGTCTTTTTATTCGAATCGATACGAGCATTCGGAGGGTAAGAAGGCACGCGTGTGTCCCTGGAGACGGAGAATTCCGAAGGTTTCCGTGTCGGGTGTTATCGTTACAGGGACCGAATTCTTTACGAGGAACGGATCATCGACAGAGCTTGATATTTTCCAACGAATTCCGCGAGTTAATCGGAGAAATTTCGTATAACGAAGACGTAATGAGAGGACTGATCATACTCGCCGCACCGTGTCATTTATTTCTAACGCATGGCAGCTCCTAAACGAGCATTTCCGCGGATACGTAAATATTTGTACGGGATTTTGCGTTGCTACCTGTGTACCGGGTAAATATTCAGACGTTCGATCTTTTAAATTCGCTATCCGCGAATCTGTGTACACGCGGATGCAGGCGAAATCGTATTCCGGGGGTGGAAATTCGTGCGACGAACATGCTGGGAAATCGCAATGAAAAGAGCGGCGAGAAACGCTTCTACCTGGAAAATACTTAGACGATGAAGTTTGTAATATTTCCTACGAGTATCGAAATCGATAAAGTGGAAGAAGTTCGATATTGTATAAGAGGGAAATTTGGTAACGCCGAAACAGTCATAAATTATCGCGTCCTTTTGCATAGGAGTAAAAGAGATCGGTTAATAGAGAAAAATTTACGATACGATTCGATTAGGTGATATTTTTCCGAGCTTTTCTATTTTCCGCCGAAGTTTGCATATATAATTTCACGCGCAGCCGTGTGAAACAAGAAGCATGAAACGCTTTTTGCTCCTCTCCGACCGAATCCTTTTATTACCACTTTTTAATTTCCTTTGCCATCGCCCGTTCAAAGGAAATGCATTTTGGTTGTTTTGTCGTGGATTCAATCCGGGAAACGCGTGGAAAAATTGAAACTGCGAATCGGAGTGAATGCTAGAGAAAAATCGCAAAAATACGAACACCCTAGTAGCGAGCACTCTGTGTACCTTTGAGCAGAACTTTTGCGAAAGAAGCCTCTCACGTTTCGCAAAATCGCAACAAATAAATCTGTCTTCGCTTTGTCCCTAACGGAAACACGGAGAGGCATATTTTAAGGGTAGGAAAAATTTGGATATTTCGTTGGAACGTTTTTATCTCAGCCTCGAGTAGAATAACAGACACGAAAGTGGCTTACGTTTACCAAAGACAAGATTAATGGACTTACGGGCTAATTTCCAAGAGCAGATAACCCAGCCTTCGTTTGATTTTACTTAAAAATCTCACCTTCAGAACGATCTCTGAAAAGTCTATTATCTATAAATAAACGTCTCCTATCTGACGTTTCCCAGGTGCTGGAATATAGCAATTTTCTCTAATCTATACCGAACACGCAATGAAAAATTAATTATTATTATCCGTAAATTGATAATTAAAGGAGAAATAAATTTTTCTTTGCTGACGACGATACCGTGAAAATTAACGTAAAATTAATTTTTATTATTATTAATTAAATTTTTAATTTAATTTTGTACCTGCGTGTTGGCCGAGTAAGACTGCCGATCTTTCTTCCATTCTATTCTCAGCTATATTCGAATTTCGCGAACATATTTATTTTTCGTAACTACTAATACATCTCTTATATCGTTTATCAATTATCCTACGCCATACTGTTCGAATGACCTGAAACACTTTCTCGATCTAAGCTGACGGCGATTTTTCGAGGTCGAGGATACAAGTTAATTCCATTTCCTTTGCCACGATTCATCAGGCGAGCTTCGCCTCTTTCAATGCGCGTCTAGGCTCTCTACACTCCCTAACAACCCCGAGAATGGACAGCTTCGTTAATTACCCTCGCCAGCTGTCCCTTATCACTCTTCATCGTGATCGCTGACAATTATTTTCATACCACTCGTTCCGTCCATCTGGCTTCCATTCGCTTCCACCTTTGTTACGTTCCTTCCGGTTCTTCTCGCTGTTTAACCTCTTTTAACCGATTTCCCGCGGGGAAGAGTGCATCTACGTGACCACAATGGTCGCGAATCCGGGAAAAATGGCGACGGTTCATCGGTGCGTTAATTAGACCCGAGATGAGATTGCAGGAAGGTAGGTGATCGTAGGTAGTATTCACAACACGTAGGTTAGCACCTTCTCTACTTTATCTTTTATTTTGTATCAGACAAGACGTCGGAGGAGAAGACCTAGACTCGTTGACCGCTCAGACAAGATTGACTGATTCTTTCTCCGATTAGCCGAGGTCTCCCCAAAAATGCGGGAGACGCCCTGGTTGGTTAACGCCGAGTTCGGTTCGTTAACCGATCAGGTATTTTAGATGCAACTAATTGTGCCCCCTATTCCTTGCGCCCTCGGCGCGTTTTCTGGGAAAGCGAGGGAGCGGTCGTGGAAATTTTTGGCGACGTAGGGGGGTTTCCACATAGGTCCGCAGCCCGCGGTGCGGCTAAGCTTGCCTGGGATCCTTTAGTCCCTTTTTAATTAACATTTAATTATTTTACATTTTTATGGTTCTTCAAATACTATTGGAATAAATAGTAATATTCATAAAATTCCTTTTCATCCTTATTTTTCAATTAAAGATTTATTAGGATTTATTTTAATTTTATCAATTTTTATATTTATAAATCTTCGATATCCTTATTATTTTAGAGATCCTGATTATTTTAAAATAGCAAATTCAATAATTACACCAATTCATATTAAACCAGAATGATATTTTTTATTTGCTTATTCAATTTTACGATCAATTCCTAATAAATTAGGTGGAGTTCTAGGTTTAATATTTTCAATTATAATTTTATTTTCTTTACCTTTTTTAAATAATAGAAATTTTTCAAATTTAAAGTTTTACCCAATCAATCAAATTTATTATTGATTTTTTATTAATGTATTTTTTATATTAACATGATCAGGTAGTCAAATTATTGATTATCCTTATACTAATTTAAATATTTTTTTACTATTAATTATTTTTTATCATTTAAATTAAATAAATTTTGAGATTATCCCCCGAGGCTTTATGGTACCCGTATGGGCTGTTGAGGCCCGGACTGACGAAGTCCGAGGATTAGCAGAACGTGCTGTCATAGAACCTTTGAATTTAGATTAAAATAAAAGTTCTCAAAAACAGCTATGTAGCAACGCGTTGTATAAAGCCTCTCGTCCCCTTTCTTTCGCGCGCCGAGGGTCGCTACAAGATATTTCTGAACGAATGGGAGTGAAAGAGGATGAAAATCTCGATCTTCCTCGAATCCCTCTGGTAGTGAACGTGTAAGATAGTAAACACAGATCGTTTGGTAGCTCTGGAAACTGCTGTCGCGTTGAAGATAGTTGCCGAGGAACGACAGTGTCGGCCACGGGAATACACGAGGAGGTTTGAAAAATTCTCTCAGCAGGGGAAGCGAACTTTTCACTCGACGCTTTAATTGGGAGCCAGGTATTGTCCCGTGAAGAATACTCCTGCGTGCTCCGGGCTAAAAGGTCACCAAGGGATGCCGATGACTCTCAACGGGTGCCAAAGGACCATTGTGCGGCTGTTTGTGCGTATACCGAATGTTTACAGACTGCTTGCACGGTAAACGTTGTCGCGGAGTATTGTTCCAGGACGGAATAATACTTTCCTTGCGCTGCTTTGTACCTCGAGATTGAAGGCGACCTGCTGTTACCTCCTTTCATCGCGTTTTATCTGTATTTTGTACCATGATGACTTACATTCTCTGGAACCTACTATTTTCTCCTCGTTGTATTTGTATTCGAAATATTTTATGCCTTATTGTGTATAAATTTTCGTATAAAATAAAATTTGTACGATCGAAATTATTTCTTTTATAAATTTTTGAAAATTCCTGGAAGGAGAAATTATTGGTACGTCTATCTGCATAAATCCGTACAAATGTACGCGAAAAATTGAATCAAGTCACGCGTACGAACAGTTTTAGAATG